TTGGTCCACGTGTGTTCAAATAAAACAGAAAATAATGATGCGGAAACGTTTGAGTTAGACAGTAGAACACAATATTATTCAGGAAACGAATATTTCGTCTTGTCCTCAAGATCAACGTAACTGATTACAAAAGTTGGCAAATACTAGATCCATAGGCGTAGATCCCGGGGGATGGGGGATATATCCCCACCCCCAATATTTGACAAGGGGGGATGGTCCATTGTATCATCCCCCCAATATTTTGACTATGTATGGGATAAAATGGAGATTTACACACTTCAAAGACTGTCACAGAAATAATTTGCACTGTATTATGCGCTTACAAAGAAAATTAGCATAATGTTGATAACAAAATTATTTTATCTGGTACCAATCTAAGCTCTTCTTTCCTTAGATGTTAGATGTGCTGGCAAGGAGAGCCACATTTCACACTGAAGGGTGTGTACGACATCAGTAATGTTATGTCAATTCCAAGAATGTTTAAGGTTATATCGGTTGATGAGGAATTTATTGATTAGGCCTATAATAGCAAATTGCATCAATTTATTTTGCAAAAACAAGGTTTCCAGCTTCAGAGGGGGGCACATCTCCTGTCCGCACAAGGGCACATATTGGTGCTAACACCAGGCGCGTAACAGGGATCTTGGGTCAGAGTGGGTATTTATTTTTTAATTTTTTTTTTATTTTTTAATTTTTATAGAGGGTAACCCTTCTAATTTAGCCCAGTAGGTTAATTGATATTCAGGACCCTCTTTAATAACATAAAAGAACAGTACAAATAACTTCATTACAACATAATAATAATAATAACAACAACAACAACAATCCTCATTCACCATCTATACACATTGAGGCCCTTCTTTTAGGTTAAAATGATCTATCTTAAATTTGTCCTTCTTGAGTTTGTTTAAATAACTTAATAGGATAAAACTAAAAAAGCCCTAAAAAAATGCCCGCCAAGCGCGCAAAATATTTTTGTGTTTATAATTCTAATTTCGTCGGAATTGATGAAAACTCCCTAAAATGTGCAATTTATAGAG